GAAACATGTCCAGTAGTCGAGAGATGAAGAGTGTGTGTGAGAGATAGTGAAAGACTCGACTGAGAAAGGAGAGAAGAAAGCGGGCCCTGTATCTCATGCCCTCCAGAGATCAATTGTCCGAACTTCTCGATGAGTGCTCTCCCTTGCCCCTGAAGCAGCCAAATCAATGCCTAGGCATGTGTGTTTGCGAGCCTGTGTGTATGTGCATGCTATTTAGGTGGAGAAAGGTAACGGAAAATGGAATCTGTTTAAATATGAGAAGTAGCAGTATGTATGTTAGGAAGTTCCTCAGATTCGATATTCTTAAATATCACTGAAAAGTCTCCCTACGGTGTTGTTGAATATAAACGTGTCTTAGCAACTGGGACAGCGCTTATTGCTTTGAGTGCTGAATTTCCCACTTTGCATTGCTTTTTAATATGTTACAAAAACACTTTCTTGTGCAATCCCCCTTTTTAGCATCACATCAACAGAGTTTTAACTGACGATGCTCTAGTTAAATAAAATGCTTCTATTTCCAGAACCAAACTCTTATGTTGGAAAAACGAATATCGTCAAGCAGTTGTGCAGAGCCTCAAAGAGCATTAACATTTAAACACATGCATTGCACTGTATTGTTATTGTGAGACGGAAGATTCATTGTCTGTATTGTCCCACTTAATCATTTCACCACACTCTTTAGTGATTCCAGTCTTATGAGTTAGTGCCAACGATGGGACTATTTATTTCTGCATGCTCCCAGTTTGAAAATAAGAAGGAATTACAAATTCCTCAAAAATAGATTTGCCTGCAAAAGAGAGTTTTATGGTCGGTTGATGGATCTGTAAGGGAATGTCATCATTTCGGTAACTATATTTGCAATTTTCTGTGTACTTTCATTTGCCATTGTTTTTACTAGTTGATTAATGCTGGTGGTAAACTTGGGGGGATGCATGTATTACATACACTTTTTTGTGATTTTTACAACTTTTCACTGAAGAAAGCTGGCGATAGAGCAGAGTCTCTCCTTTATTAAGGCCCCTCACACTGGGACTTAGTGGGAGATTTTGGCTTCACGCCTTCCTGCCACGGTTTCAGTAAATCGGCTTTCTGCGGGCATGACAGTCATTAGCCTTGCCCCTGGCAGTAATCCTCTAGTTTCTGTCTCTAATGAAAGTAGAAAGGGTTAGTAACATTCACTCCGTTACTGCTTCTGCTGCTGGGCCCCACAGGGAACCTACAGACTGTCCAAAGCCAAAGCCAGATGCACCTCCTGCTCTACAGGTCAAAACAACACCTAAAAACACCACAAGCTTCAATCACACTTGACTTAAATTTTTAAGACAAGTTCGGCCCAAAAGTACCTATGAGCAGTGTTGGGCACTAACTTGATACTCTATGCGCTCTTGCTTACTTTTGTGTCATGGTCTGTGGGATCTGGAGTGTTGGGGTTTTGGTTATTAAGGGTTTTGAGTTTGTTTTCACTGTTATTCTTATGCTCTTAGTCTTTTTTCTTTTCTTTTGTTAACGCTAGGTTGGGTTTATGATTCATTGTTTAATTTCTTTTTCAGTGTATACATTTCAAGGTCTTAATTCCTGAAACATAAAGTCTTCGTTTCCTGTGTTTCTGTATTCAAGTAATGAGTCTCTGTTTTGGTTCAAGTATATTTTTATTAGTTAAAAGGAGTTTTTGTCATATTCTTATTGTCCCAGACTTGTTCAGTCTTTTTTGAGGCCTGCGTCATTCTCTTGAATTCGTTTTCTTTTCTTTTTTTTACTTTGAAGGTTAAGTTTTCTGTTGTGTCCTCTGAACATTTAGCTTCCCGTCTTTCATTCCCTGATTGCTTGGTTCTCTTATTATTATTTGCCAGAGTGTGTCATCTTCATATGTGCTTCAGGTTTGATATTGTTTAGCTTGTATTTTGGCCTTGCATTAACTAAATCCACAATTGCTTTTTTTAATTACGTCTGTCTGCTTTTGGAAGCAATGCATTTGGATCCCAATTCTGCAACCTTAACACTTTTGAGTACAGGAAGTTGTTTTTTTGTCTGTTTTGTTTGTGCTTTTTTACACAGTATACTTCAACAAATACTTAATTATAATATATATCTACTTCTACTGTAACTGCCAACAGAGAAAAGGCACAAGTTGTTAAAAATGAAGAAAGAACCTAAAGTTAGATGAAATAGGTTCACAATTTTTTTTAACTACAATTTGAAGTCAGAGCACTGACCAAGGAAATTAATAAGAGACTATGATCATAGATACTGCTTTAATTTAAGCAACATATCCATCAGATAACATACCCAAGGCTCCATACTGACGGTGTTGATGTGAATTTTAATACATGAGAGAACCCTTTTGGCAGTCTGCAGTGTCTACCAAAGTTCACCAGCTGTTCAGAAAACCTAAGGTGCACTTGGTGACAGAGTGCAAATTGCACACAAGAAGGACCAAGTGTTGGTCAGGGCTGTCATCAGCCAGGCCGTAACTTCTATCACCTGATAAAGCCAAGCACACACAGCTGGTCATGAGAACTTATTATTTTATTTTGTTCAATCAGGCTTTCAGTATGAGAAATGCCAACCTACATGAACAACATTATTAATTATTGCATCTCTAATCTGTTATTAATCAACCAATGTTTAGGAACACCCTGCTTTACGTTTAATATGATTTGCTCTTAAAACACACACAATTCTTTTTAAAATTTGCTGCACAATAAATTTCCCCTATTAAAAAATCCCACCACTGAGTCCATCAGCCTAATCAGTTCTGGTCACTGGGAAGCATCACTCGGTGTCACTCTCATGTTCATGAACTCCTTTTTAGACAGCTTTTAATATGATGCATTGATGTATTTACACAAGCCTCTACACTTAATTTTAATGTGTTTTTATCCAAACTGTGAAGCACTTCCTGTATTTTAAAAGTGTTTTACCAATAAAATTACTATAACAAATCAAATAGGCTATGACATCATATTAACAGAGAACTGGTAGTAAGGGGCAAGAAGTGTACAGGTTGGATCTATGCATATGTGCTGCTGACATCAACTTCTGAAACTCTGACGCTGCAATTGAAGTAAAAAAAAATAAATTCAGGTTTTACATTTTTTAACTAATTTTGATGAATAAGAACAAATGTTTGACTTAGTTTTGGGAATTTGTGACAGGAGTGGGATAAAATGTGGTTCTGTCTGTCTGTTAAAACAGACAGTTTTATTTCCTATTGATTTTTTTTTTTTTTACTTTTTGCTCATTGGATCACTCAGGTGATATTTTTCCTAAATCAGATATTAGATGTTAAGTTTGACTGAAGTTCCTGATCTGTATGTTTCTATCCACTGCAGCAAAATAACTGGCTGAAGCAAGTGCTTCGAATAAAGTTTTATTATAGTGTATCTTCCACTTCAGTAAGCCCTTTTGTACTTTGTCCTGTTGTACCTGTGAGCTAAGACAGCAAGTGTTCTTGGGGTGAATAGACAGTCGATGGCAGACCTACTGCATTGCACTTATTGTTGTGCTTTAGCAAGAAAAAAAAGGGCCTTTATCCCAAAAAAAACCCAAAAAAAAAACCTATCGAACTCTCATATTTAAAGCCACATTTGCAGGGATTTTAATAGCATCCAGTCAGTGGAAACCATACCGATGTGCCCTCCATCTTCAGGTTTACTCTTCAAGGCATGATGCCATGCTGTTCTGCAGTAAGTCATGTCATCTGCCTGGCCAGCAGGAACCCATATTTAGAAAGTACAAGTTACTGTCATAGAATGAATGCATATTTACTTATTCCTGTCTGTTATAAAAAGACCCAAAAACTTGGTTTTAATGAAAGGGCGCCTTATTTTATGTGATCTTTGACCTGCCCTGCTGTTGAGCATAGGAATTTTGATATATTGAGTGTTGCCACTTTTAATATCATCAGCCACATCTGGCAATGTTTGGCTGACAGATGGCTGTGATATGTGACTCAGTCACACATCTCTCTTTCTGGGCTGTCCAGGAAGGAGACAGCATCAGGAAATGTGAGAGGGAGTGGCTGTGAACTTGTTTGACCTCTGCCAGACAATTTTCAGTCAAAAGCACATCATAAGTAAGCTTCTCCAAAATCAGTCTTTGTCCTCTGGTGGCTCCAGTTAACAGCATATTCACAAATATCAGTTTTAAGTACATTATAATAGCTATTGTGATGCATCAGTAAGCGATACGCATAGGTTAACAGAGTTACCTATGGATTTACTCATACTGCGTATGTTTTTAGCCTTTTAGCCTTAACCACCGTATATGCTTTTATTTGCATATATATAAATAAACTGAACATATCTATGCAAATTGATATGGATTTTTAAAATTTGTTTTAATAAACAGAATTTGAAAAAAATTACATGGCAAAACAGGGTTAACATGGTAAGTGTCTCAAAAAGAATAAGATCAGTGAAGTAAAGGCATTAAATGTTTACTTTTAGATCTTTAATTTAATGTGGAAAAAGTGCAAACAAGGTCAAGTGAAAAGATTCTATGCTGACATTTCAAAGTGCAAAAGAATGAAATAGGTGAAAGGACCATTTGACTACCTGTCTGGTATTTGTGTTAATTAATAAAGGGCACGCTTTACAGTGATGCAGCCACATGTATTCCTACCTCCTAGACAGTCCCAGCAACCAGCATTGCCATCTGGGAAGCATCTTTCAATTATGTTTTTTTCTTGGTAAAGCAGCAGGATTGTCTGCCTGTGCTAACTTCAGGGCTAAAGCCAAAAGGTCCTTTGCTCTTCTCCCTCCACCAGGTCCTTAAACAACTTTTTGAGCCTGAAGCCAGTGTTTTAAAAAGACTTTAAGAAGTTTTGGGTGTATGTTCCAAATTAAGCATCTGCAGTTTACTTCCACACCAAAGAAGAGTGCCAAGGCATCGCAGTGCGCACAACTTCCAGCTCTATGGGTAATACCTCTCCTTCTTCCTCTTGAAAGCAGACTGTATTCAGTCTTCAAATAGAAGTCAGGATAGCCATAATCACTGACCTGACACAGGGAGCCATAACAAAGTTCGGATGACATCCTCCAGACTTTAACTGGCATTTGAGGGCCACTCATGGGCTCTAATTGCATCAGGATAACAAGAGGATGGGTTCTTCTTGTTTCTTTTCTGTGCTGTAACCCTTTGTCTGAAAAAAAGGATTAGCAGTAGCAGTGTTAGATTACTGCATATTACCTTCAACTAAAAGAAAAGATATTGCATATTTGGATGTATGTGAGCAACGATCAGCAAGCTTCTCTGAGGCATTGCAAAGGCATAGGTTTCTAGGATCAGGAATAATGTTCTTTCTTGGTGAAGAATCTTACACTGTCCAGGCCGATGCTGCGCACAGATTCCCTTTAATATCTGCCTCTAATAGCTACCTAATAGCTGCCTAGCATCTTTGTGCTGTTAGATCGCTTGACTTAAAGACATTAGCTCAGTTTCAAATCACAGCAGTCTCAGCCACAAGTGTAATAAGAACACACAAAGCCATTCTCCAGTAATATTAATAGCAAGCTCACCACAGTTAATAACATCTTTTCGACAGTAATTTTGTACAGTAATGTATATCAAAATTGATTTTTCCCCCACTCTAGAATACTAAAATACACACAGACACTGAGGAAATGATCAAACTAACATGCACTAACTAGTCACAATGTAATCAGAGTTGTTGTTGTACACTTCTAAAATTGCAATGACACAATAAATGCATGTCATTGTTTCATTGCTAATTTAATGTGTGATTAAACAAAGCCTTCAGCTGCCAAGATGCTTGTCCCATACTTTTTATTCTGCATTGGGAGTTTAAAGACAAAAAGACAATGACTGATACCCATGTGCATTTCCCATTTCCATGCAAGAGTCTTTAGTCCATTTATTTCATTTTTTTGTTCACTGAATTGTTTCTTTGCTTCTTTGTTGTTCTTGGTGTATTTGTTTGCGCTTTGTTTGTTCATCCATTTGTTCTCTGTTTGTCTTATTGTTAATTCATTCATCTGTTTATCTGTTACACATCCTGAGACAACACTGATCAGACTTTAATGAAACTTGAAGAAATGACTGATACATTCAGGCTTTGTGTCTTGGTAGTAGCACACTAACCGCCCCTAATCTCGGCCGGCCTGATTTTACGAGTGGAAATAAGCATAGATTTTTGTTATTTATTGGCCCACTGGGACAGTGTATCATTTGAGAATGGGATGTCTACTGTCGAAATGTTTGTTTGCCATTGCATTTAACTGTCTCCCCTTCCTGATCTATGTTACCAAATTGATTCTTTCTTCTGGTCCTTCATAGTTTTTCTTTCCTCAGCGTTATATCTGAATGGGATGTTAAGAGCGGGGTAATACTTTCTTTTTTCCCTCTGCACTGTCATGTGATTCTCTATCTTTCCCTTTCCCTTCTCCTTTTTATGCTTGATCTCTTTTTATTTTCCTACACAGGCACTGTGAGAGTTAGTTCTTTGAGGTTTATAAGGAGGTCTTTGTTGTACCTGCTGAATACCACAAACTTGACATTACTGAACATTTTGTTGGCAAGAACAGGACATACAGAGCTCCAGGCAACACCACATGTGAACACAGGCGCGCATTCACTGAAATTAGGGAGAAAAGAGCTCCAGAGAGGTGACCGAGGTAAGGACAAAATGTGGCTCTACCAAGTGTTACACATAAAAGTGGGATTCTTGGATAAAAGAACAAACATATCACAGGGGCCACAAGAGCTCACCTCTCACCCTGTGTCCTCCTGACAGCCCAACTCCAACCCACTGCTGACTACTCATAATCAATCATAGGCCCACTATAAATCAATCAATTAAAAACCCACACAAAGCCACAGTAGTGTAATCAATCAATCCAGCCTCTGTGGACGGTTGTTATTGAGAGCCAAGCATTAGATCTATAGTCGCCGGTCTCAAGATGCTGCTGGCCTTAGTGACATTGGCTGAATGTGCATGGAAAGAAATAAAAGTAGGAGTAGAGAGGTGAGACAAAGAGCTTGGGTGTGATCCACTATAGGGTAGAGAAGAGGCTCCCAACACTCCCATGATACATCGCCAGAGCCTGAATATTCATGCCTACGAATCGGGTACCATGGAGGCGCTCAGTTATTCATTATGCTTCTGCAAAAAGAAACACGCCATCATCCCCCTGCGATGGAATATTAATAGTTCCCATTAATAAAATATCCCACTCCCCATCTTAAGTCTTGTCTTCAACTTTCTTGGCCATTGCACATATAAAGGCTTGGGACTTTTGGGATGTGACCATGAAAGTCAGCCAGAGAAGTGTTATTTAGCATATTAGCAAACTTAAAATAATTTAAACGCTACATACTGACCATCTGGCCTAAAATGAGAGAAAGTGTCTTGTTCTCGTTCCACATTTGGACGAACCCTTATATATGAAAATAGAAAGAAAGAGTGTGGGAGGGGATGGCAAGAACAGCTCTATAGCTGTATACTCAAAGGGGATGAATGTTTAATTTAGACCAGCCTGAAAGTATGCTGACATTTCGCCATTGTTAGGAGAGATGAATACATGGGATACTGTCTGCAGGAGAAATGGAAATGTGCATCAAGGTTGTTAAAAATTCAACTGCCCTCCCCACCCAGACATGCAGATCTAGGCTCAGAATACAGTAGGTAACCCGCAATGTTTGCCACTGTAATTCTCCCCTGATTTAGTCTGTGGATGCTATTGTACTCTTCATCTAACTCCACTTGAGTAACACAAACCATGCTTATACAACTCGAATCCCCAGTGCTTTCTTTTACTTGTGAATTGAGCAGAAACGCATCCATCCTCTAATTTCTTGGACCAACTATTGACATTAACTCACCAATAAATTTCCCTGAGCCATGAGACCCCTGTAGTAATAAGGTGGAGAAAGTAGGACTGCACAGCGTCAAGATCAGCGCCACCACAAGGACTCATGAGGAGTACTTATTAGAAGTCAGTGGGAATAAACAAATAAATGCAGGTGTAGCACAGCAGGCTGGGATTGTTAGCTCTCTGACAACACCGACGAGGCGGGGAGGCGTGAGTGGTCAGCCTGTGGCAAAGCAGTGACACAGAGAAAGAGAGTGTGAGAAAAGAGAAGAAGAGAGAAAGAGTGAGAGAAAAAAAAGCTAGAGAGAAGGTCAAGTACCTGCCACTTCTGTCAGACACTTCTTATAACAGCTGAGCTGTGTCCAGCAGGGTGGCTGGCTGCTTTTGGGGCCTTTCATCTCACAGAGGTGATGGGTGATGAGAGTTTCTCTTCCTCACATTTAAAGTCTGCCACAATACATCCCAGAGACTTGGTAACTTCAGGTCACTGCTGGGTTCCATGGACTTCTGGGAAAACGTCCGTCTAGTGCGGCAAAATGACAAAAGGCTCAGCACATACACACAGAATCTCACATTGGAGTTTCAGTATAAAAATGTATGTTGTGTCGTACTGGTTTTTGCACTGGAGAGAATACAGATAAGGGAGCAGCCAAAAGCAGCTTCTTCTCTGGGGGCATTTAGCTGTTGTTTATGCTATGTCTCTGTTGCAGAGACATTGTAAGTGATTTTAAAAATCTGCTGTGTGTGTGTGTGTATACATGTAACTATGCCTTTGTGCAAGCAGAACTATCACTAGGCTTACAGGCCTTACCTGTAGGCAGGAGGAGCCGCTTGAACGATGGTGTGACCAGTTCAGCGCAGAATCACAGCCCTGGATCGGAGACAGAGACGAGGCAGAGACTGAGGTTTCAGAGTTGAAAGGATTGTCTGGCCCTCAGAAAAACATTCAGACAAAGACACCAGAAAAGAATGAACTCCTGCCTGACCACTGGAGCTGCAGACCAGCAGACTGTGACTGACTGACAGACTGAGCCGAAGATGGCGATGCGGTCACTGCGCCACACCAAGCCAACTGGCTCACTGAAACAGGATCTGTTTTTCCGACCCCACGGGGAAACAGTGAAGAGCTCCCTGCCATCCCTCTATCTATAGCTCTCTCAGGCCTAGCGCAAAGAGGAATTAGAACTGGAGTTTTGTTTTGGTGGCCTGTGTTTTTGTCACATGTCAGCCAACTGAGTTTTAGGGAGAGTTTTTCTCAGAGGTAGTTCCAGATAGTCTCCTCTTTAACCCCCCTTTCTCCACGTTTCCCCCATCCCCAAAACAGAGTGTCAAAGGACATATGGTTTAGCTAGAAGCACCTGGCAGCCCCATCAAACTGGCAGGAAGATTGAAATTGTAGCAATGGGAGCTGGAAGCAAGAAGAAAGCCTACACATATCTCAAAAGAATGGTCTGGAATTCATTACAGTCACTGAGAACATAAGAATGGGAGTGTGATGATGGGATACTGGTGGGAACCAGCTGGGGAAAAAAGGCACATTTGAGTATGGAGAAATTGCAGGACACAGGAAGTAGAAGCTACCTGTTGATGACTTGTTAATTATTTAGACAAATTTTTTAAAAGAAAGTTGCTAACCAAATTTTCCATTTTCACCAGATAAAGTGTTGCAGGACACAGATGTTTAAAATTTTGAAATGCCATGGGCCACATCAAGGACTGCTGTGCCATGTCATTGGACAGTTTCCATGTTGCCATGGTAATATTTTCCACTTGCTTAACAACTCGACAAAAACATAAATAAAAATGCTTAGGGAAGGCTACACGGAAGAAAATACTGTCACTCTGTCATCACACCTCTTGTTTTATCTCCCTATATTCTGCCACAAACACATGAATACACTGCTTTCGTCTGTGTTATATACTGTAGCTGTGTAGCTCCACACATTAAAGTTGCTGTGGTGCAATTAGATTATTTTTTCTTCTGCAGCAGCTCTGTTTGTCTGTGTAACTAAAACACCTGTCTAGCTTTGACAGATCAATACACAATAAGACTTTCGGCATATTTGCTTCATTTATTTTGGTCAATCCCAGTACTCTAAATAGTGAGTAATGGCAATACAGAAAATCAGTGTGCATTTACTAAGTTCAAAGAACATGGCACAGAGTGGCACCCGGAAACTTTTATTTTTTCCTGCAGTGGTTAAAATGAAGAAAATTGATTATCAATATGCATAAGTGTGTATTCTGTACAGCCTCTTCTGCCATGCATCATCAGTGTCATACCCTGCTGTTTAAAATAGATTACTGTGTATACTTGTCTTAAATGATGGATTGTCATGAACTGGATCCATAGTCTCACCAACTATTTTGCAGATGAGAGTGACAGAAGGAGTAGATAAACACAGTAAAACTGACAGAGGAGGCAGTTTGCAAGAGAGCGTTTCTCTGTTTTCACAAGCATCGCAGGGTAGATTACATTGAGGAAACCACGGATGGTGGAAAAAGATGTTGCTCTGCTTCTTCCAGTCTTTGTTCTATTCTTGCAGGATGATAAATGCTGCTTTTCACATGGGATTTCACTGCAAGCTTGTTGTTACAAACACTGACTAGATATAGAAGTAACGACTGGTAAAGGGAGAAAAGAAGGGGTGTTGCTTACTTTTTAGTGGAAGTCAGAAGCACAAATTGTTAAACTGTCATTCTGAGATTCCAAACGGTAGCAATAAAAATGCAGACTATAGGTTTATGCATTTTACATAGTGTGTTTTTTACACTTGTGGTGCTTTTATTGTACCTTCTTTTACTGCACTTTCATACTGAATGCTGTATTTTTATTGTGCACAAAATCTTTGATGACATTTTAAGGAATGTCTACACTGGGAGGGTCGCTATTTTGAAAACTGCTATATAACTCTCAAGTCCTTAAATCAGCTGAAATTAATATTTTCAAGTGTGTTAACACGGCAACAAAAAGGAACAATATCAGCAATAATCTTTCACAAGAACTTATCAATCTATTACTATTAACAGCCAACCGCTCCACTGTTAAATATTTCATTCTGCTGCTACTAGTATAGTGCATTGTTGTATCATATATACACATATTTAGCATATATATGTATATGTACATACATTCATAATATTATTACTCTCGGGTATGCGGCATCTATATATTTATTCCTGCCCTGTCTCCTTTGCTGCTGTAACATTGTGAGTTTCCCATCTCTGGGACTAATAAAGGCTATCTTATCTTATCTTATCTTAGCTGGGAGGGGTAATCAGGCCATTTCCAAATCATTTGTTGGCCATTATTCTACAATGGCAAAGATTATTCACAAGCGGAAAACAGAGCCAGTCTTCCAGTCAAAATAACACTGTCCAATGTTCAGAGAAACTGCAATAAAATAACCCTCAGAGCTCCAAGTCAGACTCTACAAGCCCTGCGTTAACATGCTGAATGATAAAGTTCATGACAATGCATTTAGAAAAAACGTCTGAACAAATATAGCTCGTATAGAATGGTTCCTGACATAGATTTGCAAAGTTGCATCAGAAAAAAAAAAAAGGAGTTCTGGAAGAAATTAAATGGTAAATGGCCTGTATTTGTATAGCGCTTTACTAGTCCCTAAGGACCCCAAAGTGCTTCACACAACCTGTCATCCACCCATTCACACACACTGGTGATGGCAAGCTACATTGTAGCCACAGCCACCCTGGGGCGCACTGACAGAGGCGAGGCTGCCGGACACTGGCGCCACCGGGTCCTCTGACCACCACCAGTAGGCAACGGGTGAAGTGTCTTGCCCAAGGACACAACGACCGAGACTGTCTGAGCCGGGACTCGAACGGCAACCTTCCGATTACAAGGCGAACTCCCAACTCTTGAGCCACGATTGCCCCGAGATAAGGCGAAAGTGGAAATGCCGTGCCATAATGTACAGCGCCATGGTTGGGGAAAAAAAACAAAGAAAGAAGATCAGCACAAACACTTCATACCAAATCTCTCAAGCAGATGGTGAAGGGGTAATGATTTGGGTTTGTTCTGCAGCCATTGGATCTGGACACCTTGGACTCGCTGAGTTGACCATGAACTCCTTTGTATAAGTATTTCACAGCAATATGAGGTCATGTGTCTGAAACTATCTTAAACTTGGCAAAAACCCAGGTGATGAAACAGGACAAAGATCACAGGCACAGCAGGAAGTCTACAGCAGAATGGCTGAAAAAGAAAAGAATCAAGGTGCTACAATGACCGAGCCAAAGTCCAGACCTCCACATGATTGAAATGCTGTTATGGCACCTCAAGAGAAGTGTGCATAAATGAATGTGTGCATGCCTCACTGAACTGAAGCTATGACGTGAAGAAGAGTGGGCCAAAATAATGTGAGACATTAGACACACAGACACAAAACAAGTACTTAAAGCTACTTCTGTGAAAGGTGGCTCTACAAACTACTAAATCGTGGGATGCACTTAGTAATGACTAGTTATTCTATTATGTCCATAAATGTGAAACCTTAGAATTGACAGAGAGTCTCTTTTCTTTTTACCATGACAGGACATCTTATATACCAAATCAGATTGCTTCTCTTTCTCCCAGATTATGTTTTCACTCTGATCCATGTTCTACTCCCTTTTTATTAGGAAAAGAAAACAAAGAGCACTCTCATCAGGTTTTACATGCACTAAGGTTGGTGAAGGCTCACTTCACCCCACAAACAGTAAACTTAATAGGAAAACCGTCATACAGAATTGTGGCTATCGCCACTCACAGATTGCCTCTGACTCTTTGTTGCTTCCAAGTCCTCAGGGTCACTATGTCCCTGGGCTATGTTTGTGACTGTATTTCTAAACAGAGTGACAAAGGCTGTGAAAGTCTTGAGACCGAAACTTTTAAAAAGGAAAACCCTTGTTGCAGAGTTCTGTTCTTCTCCATCCCTCATTCCGTTTCCACAAAACGCTTCACTTGTCACCACAGACTCCCAAGCTCCTTTAATAAACGCTCCAAACGAAAATGTCTGGCTTTGAGTGGCAGAGTGTGACTGTTTAAAACCACTGGGAATCTAGTGTAATCCTATGGAAGACACAGACATAACCTGACTTTAAAGTTGTCTTGTCGCTCCACATCCAAGTGAAGAACCTGGAGAGGAGAGGCTAAGGATTGTAAAGAGAGGCTCTAGTGTGAGAAATCAAGTGTTCATGTTGACTTTCCAGGGAAATCAGTCTGCATTTGATACATGTTGAGTGGAGAGGCCCATATGTTTTGGTAAGACCTTACATCTGACATTAATCTTAAAATAGAGAGAAATGTGGGTTACTTCCACTGAGGGGGTCCCATGGATGAAACTTTAAGGACTGTCAGTCAGCAGTTGCAGCCTGCATCAAGTGAACAGGTTGCTTAGGAACCGATCAAGAAGAGAGCACTATTGTAATGTGTTTGTCACCAGAGCACTAAAAGTAAGTAAGCAATACAGTTTGTTTGTTTTTTAATAAAAAAGCATGACAGAGACACACGAGGTCAAGGATTGAGATTGGTCAAAGGGTTTAATTGAACTGTAGCTCACTGTGTGGTAAAATACATCCACTTAGGTTGTTGTTCATGCTAACGGGAGGAAAACAACTTTCCCAAACTTTCCTTTTTCTCTTTGTTGTTTTTTTCCCCTCTTTTCTTTGTCTTTTTAGCAGACAGCTGTCTGAGACAAGATACTTCTTCCACTGGAGACCTCACTCTTTTCACTCACACGCTCGCTGGCTCCTGGTTGCCATGGAAAATCCCAGAAATGGAGCAGATAACAGTTCAATGAGGGAGCAGAGACTGGAAGGTCTGGAGGGAGGCAGCAAGTTTCTAGGGCCCGTCCTGTCAAGGCATCAAGCTCTTTTGATGTGTGAAAATGGAAGAGAAGACAGAGTGAGAGGAAAATGTATAAAAACATAAAATGAGAGAAGAATAAATGGGTTGGGGACTAATCTGTTGACTGAAGTCAAAGTTGTGTGTTGAAATGTAAGAGCAATTCAAAAGGAACTGATAAAAGAATGAAGATCTATTTGTCTT